TCAACATATCTTATTGAAATTTAGCACAGATATAAAACAAAGTCTGGAGTACACATGGGATAAGGATCATCCCCGAGAAATGTCCGGTTCCCGAGGGATATGTAGTTTTTTTTTATTTATATAGTTTTGTAATAGTCGTTTGTTTTCTAATACCACGCGGACGAAGTCGCGGGCAACAGCTAGTGTATTATAAATACTCAAACAAAGAGATTCAAAAAGATTTTCCTTAAGAGGAGAAGGATGGGAAGAAAAAGTGGATTTGACGGTGGAGGAGACGCATAGGAAAGAGAAATATCCTCTTTATGTGCGTCTCCTCCGTCAATGAAAGGTAGGCAACGCATCTGCAATTGCGGATGTCTATGGGCGGTCGCTTTCCATTTCTGTCGATTCAGGCCGCTTGCGAGTTTGCCACCTCATATTATAAAAAAAACGTTCGTTTCTTTTTTAACTAGCAATAATGTCTTACAGGTTCGTATTCCATTGTTAACATTTACAAGCTACTATAGGATAATTGTAACAGCGTGGTGTAACAATGGTACTGAGGTTATTGATGACCAAGATGAGTACGAAGAGACCCTGGACCCATCATTATATTCCGAAGAAAGTTCTGTAGAACAAGAATATCAATACGATTTGACGGAGACCAGAGGTATCTGGGTTAACGTGACTGAGCCTCCAGAAGAAGCTGTAGGAGGTGGAGGTGTAGGTGGAACCGGTAAAGGCAAAGGCAAAGGGAAAGGGAAAGGTAAGAAAGTACAGGACTCCGACGAAACTGACGAGGAAAGTTTGAAACCACCTAAACTACCTTGGAATGAACCGAGTAATTAAATTATCTTTGTTGCTAAAAGCCTCAAGCTTTTTTTTATAAAAATACAAGCATCGCCCACGACTCCGTCCTTGGATTTAAAAAAAAAACAAAAGTGAGTAGCTTATATATTCTTCAAAACTATCCTCTACATATCTGCCGAATTTCATCGAGATCCGTTAAGCAGTTTTTACAAACTCTAACAAACATCTAAACTTTCGCATTTATAATATTAGTATGATTAGTATTTTTTTGGTAATTTACTAATATTTCCTTTAACTATTCAAACTACGCTCTAACCTTGCTATATGGTTCACAATAGTCGTAAGAAAATAAAGTTTTTACCCCAAACTATTAGGCTATTGCCGCTTTTTGTCGCCAGAGTTTTTGCAAATGGAATAAATGGGCTAGAGGACCATTTATATTCACTTATACCAATTAATGAAGCCAGCTATATTCAGTTTTATCTGACAGTTTTACCCATACTTGTTAGATTTATCAGGCATCCGATTGTTAGATAACTGTCAGATAAAAGAGCGTATGTAACGGTTGTGTCTGACCTTAGAATGTAAGATTCTCGTGTCATGTAGATATGTAAATATATAGTAAATAAATACCGTACATAAATAAAATGTGTTTTTCTTAAGTACTCCCGAAATTAAACATTAACGAATTGCACGGAAATATTTGTGAGAAAACATACGGAAATAATAATTAAATTTATTAGATATAAAATATAGCCTATCTTACTCACAGATAAATTACCTTTCTGATGGTGAAGGAATTTTTAAAATCGGTCCAGTGGTTTTTGAGTTATTTCAATACATACAAAAATACAAAGTTTTCCTCTTTATAATGTAGTAGACTGAAATTATGAAAATGTTGTTTTATTATTTACATTTGTCAAATTCTCAATTGCAAATGTCAAAATTACCATAATAACCTTGCTTTCCTAATATTGGTAGCTTGTAGTTTGTGGTCCCTTTCCCACGTGAATGTTTTTCCAATTTATTTACCCCCTAAGTTTAATGGCGTGAAAATATATAGCCTAAAGCGTGACGTAAGTTTAGGGCTTTTTATTAAAAAAAGATTTATTCAAAAACATGCTGTGATTGCTGACATCTTAGGCAACAAAAAGTGTGTGTTTACGCTTTATTATAATAGTATAGATTTAGTGGTAAGAGTATTTAATTCTTTGTTTATAGGAACAGATAATAAAATCCATGTCTATTTAAAAGCGTATAATAAAGACATTAATTACTCTTGCAAGAGTCGATTAAAACAATTGGGCGGGAATCATAAAGTATGAACTAACAAGACAAAAGAGCATCTTCAAATAATTAATGTAATTCGAACTCTGTTACAATGCTGTTAGAGTTTAAAACCGCTAGTGTTGTTTCAAAATCAAGATGGAATGTTTCGAAGGTGGGCTGCAGATACAAGTTAATAAATGCTACTACAGTTGGGAGGAAAAGTGTCTTTGTTACAATAATATTATTTTTAAATGTGAACTATTTAATAGTCCTAAATTTCTAATTTAAATTCTGATTTGCATCGTCATATATACTTCTATACTAATATTATAAAGAGTAAAGATTTGTGTTTTTGTATGTATTGAAATAACTCAAAAACAACTGGGGTGATTTCAAAAATTCTTTCAACTAATAAAAGTTACGTTATCGCTGAGTAACATAGGCTGTTTTTTTTTATTTTTTTTTAATCTAACAGCAACAACTATCTGTAATATAGTAGGCAGTATCCCTAAAATTTGTAGACTACATTTGTATCCCTAGATTTAGCCTATATCAAATGGGCGACAATCTTGGGGTGAAGGTTAGTATTAGTAAACATTTTCTTCCAAAGAGAATGCTTTCATGAAGAATGGACTTAAAACATATTAGTTTTTAAGTCCCTTGAGATTCCAGAAACATTATTTACTAACTTTCGCCGGTGACTCTGTCTGCATCGGATTAAAAAACACAAATGTAATTATCTTCTTCCAGACTGCTTTTTTTTTAATAGTAGTAGATTTTTGTTAATTTACTAATATTTCCTTTAACCACTCCAACTAAGCTCTAGGCTTGTGCTAGGATATGGTTCACGACAATAAACGAATGTCGGGATTCGAACCCTCGACCGCAAGACCAGTAGTCCGTACCCCAAACCATTAGGCTATTGGCGCTTGCTATTCTCTACATCAATGTCAAATTTCATCGATTTCCGTTCAGAAGTTTAGGCTACAAACTCTAACAAACATCCATCTAAACTGTCGTAATAATATTAGTAAGATTTTGAACTTTTTAGGCGACAGATTCAAATTGTAATCTACTGCAATATAAAGTTTAGATTCTTACGCGTTAGTAAAAATAACATTTCATACCATGAAATTGGGAAAACCAATCATGCGTGCAATGACGTCATTTCCGAGTAACATTTTATTTTCATCAGCTTTCAATGGCTTCTCGTGAATTATCAATTCGCGTTCTCTGACTGGCGTCATACTACACGAGATGGGATTCCCAAATTATCTACTGAAACAAAATTACAAGGAAACTTTGAGTCAGATGTACTGAAAATATTGTAGCTGAAAGATCTTGACATGATTTCGTTACTATAACATTTTAATAGTGATTTTTAATAGTAAATAGTTACAAAAGGTGTTTATGAAATGGATCATTTCGAGTTAAAATTGTAGAAAACTGGTACATTAGAATTTCTCAGTTTTATTTACACATATTTTGATAAGTATTTAAAATGTAAGCTGTATCTATACTATTATAATAAAGCGTAAACACACACTTCTCTGTTGCCTAAAATGTCAGTAATAAAAAGCCCTACACTTACGCTATATATTTTGACGCTATTAAACTTAGGGAGTAAATATTTTGGATAAAAACCCTAATATGGGAAAGAGACACATGTAAACAATTAAATAACATTTTCATAATTTTATGCGGATGAAGCCGCACTGGAACAGTTAGTTAATTATAAAAGTAAAGCAGTATTATTAAAAAAAAGTATGTGTTTTTACCCATTAATAAATGTAAGGTTGTATAGGTAAATAAAATAGTAAATCAATCTTGTTTTTAATTGCAAAATAATACGTGTGCTCGTCTGTACATACGTTTTAACTTATAGCCGATAGATGGCGTTGTAGATAGTTACAATTGCACTACAGTGATGCATACGAAGCGTATATTCTACAATTAGAATACCAAGACGTGTTGTTCCGATAAAATGAGTATACGGAATAAAATATTTTTTTAATGTAATCGAAGGGAGATAAAAGAGTGACAATCGTTTTGATGAGAAAATGCTTATTGAAAAATGAGAATTGCGATTTGCATATTGATTAAAATATACTTTTATATGTACTTTTTAAATTGCTCGGTTCCTTTTAAAAAAGCAATAAGTGAAAAACGCAGAAAATTTTATTAAGATCGACTCAGTAATTAGGAATTATTTCAAACTAGGGTTGATAGACTTGTGATTTGTGTTTTTCATTATTTCATTTGGGTAAATAAATACAATTTTAAGTCTGTTAACTAAATGAATGGTATCCCTAAATATACATTTCTCAAAACCTTTCACAATCATTAACAATGTTACATTTAATTCGACAAGCTAAAATTCCCGCCAAACATCTGAGAAAACATCCACATTTTTAAATCTTGACATCTTTCACGCTTGTATTCATTAGTCATTTATTCCTGGCTGCAAACGCAACACAACTTGTCCTTTTTTAATTAAAAAAATAAATTTTGACAGCTTTGTTTTTTAAGCAAAGCCACTTTTACAATTCAGCCAGGAGACAAAGACAACAGAGTTCGGATTACGTAATTCGATATTTAAATTAACAGAATCGAGTTACTCTGCGTTAAGATAATATTTACTCATTCGAGAGGATTTATTTTTAAATTGTTTTGAGATATTCCAAATTTAAATTCGCGCGCTTTTTAGACTTTTTCGACGGAAACATTTAACATTACCTGAAAATTGATGTTTTTTTAATTACAGTAAACGTTACTCACATTTTAATTTCTTCAAAATATAATTTATTTTACTGTGAAATATAAAAAGGTAGAATTATAACCGTATTTCATGTCGTGTCTTCCACATGGATAATCCATGTTTATTTTGCGCGACAAGACAGGGACATGAGATGGGTGGACTCGCGATCTTAAAAAATTTTAAATTCATGTTTGTAAATTCGTACGTGTATATCATTGGCCCATTTTAAAATAAAACAGAGTTTATTAAAAAACATACAGACGACTTGAGTACCTCCTTCTTTTGGGAAGTCGGTCAAAAATGAATGAATATTCAAAAAAAAAGTTGCTAGAAACTCTTACTGCGTGCTCGAAAGATCTCGATGAAGAAGTCATAAGTTACTTGTTTATAAATTGCGCAGTTGGAGTCGCGGGGAAAATTTAGTACTGCATAAATTATAAAAATGCCATTTTATAGTCCCTAAATAAATACACTTATACAGATTAAAAAGGGCACAAATAAAGGGCACGAGAACGCCAGGTGCAGTATTCTCATTGAAGCTGTTCACTGTATGGTAGGATAACCATGATGATACATTTTATTTTTATTCGTTTTAATATCATAAATGCGAAACTTTAGATGGATGGATGTTTTTTTAGTTTGTAGCCTAAACTGCTGAACGAATATCTATAAAATTTGATATAGATGTAGAGGATAGTCTGGAACACATACTCACTTTTGTTTTTTTTAATCCCACGCAAACAGAATCCCGGGCGAAAGTTAATTAACAAAGGCGAATGTTGAATTCGTTATTGCAAATAAATTACCGATTTCTTACATCTTGGAATAACAATGAAATTTTCATTAAAATTGTCTTAACGGAATTTCTGGAGATACCAAAAAAATACGAAACTAGTAGAGATTGTTTAAAACTGTTTTTGGAATATAATTATAAAAGTTACTTTTATGTTGCTAAAGAGTATTAAATTATTACTGTGATTAAATTATGTTCTTATTAATAGAGCGTACGTATTATTTATCGTGATTGTGGTCACCCTATTTGAGTTAGG